CTCGTCGGCATCCTGCACAAAATAAAGAGCATTCGAAAGGACAGGAAGCCATTCGCGAGATGATAACGTAGCGTACTTCTGCTCATTGAGCAGCGTGAACGCAGTCAACCGACGATTAAAGTCAGGTTCGTCAATCCGCTTCGACGAGCAAGCATTAAGTGATTCAAGCAGGCTTGCAAGCTCTTGAATACTTGGATTAATCGCTGAGAGCTTATTGAATGCCGAAGTAAGGGCGAGTCGAGAGGCGGTAAAGCGAAGTGACATAAAGAGCTGCGAAAGAAGTTCATATGCCTTCGAGAATTCGACGGAGGAGGAATCTGACAGCTCAGTTAGGAGAGGGAATATATGGCCGAGGGTGCTAAGAAGTTTGACTTTGATTTTCTCAGAGATGATTCTGCTGGATTTGCGTAGCAAAGGGGAGAGAAGGCCGAGAAGAGTCAAAGCCTGCGTAGAATCTTCAGCGTAGCGAGCGACCTCAGAAAGTATGCTGATTTGACGTTGTGTGATTGGACTTGAAAGTGCTGTATCAGCCTTTGTGCGTTCGACCAAAGTTGTGAGGTTCTTGAGCAACTGCGATATATGTGGCTGAACAAGCAGATCCAAAAATTTACTGTCATCCGCGGAATACGACAGCAGGCGCTCTACGATGTCGAAGACTCTGTTGATCACTGCTGGTTTGACGTTAACCGCCACGAGGCAGTCGAGAACCTTCGGCAATACACGGGAGTCGTGTTGTACGAGGTGGACCGAATATTCTGGCTGACTGGTCCAAACATAGAACAATTCCAGGAGCGCGGAAGGGGCTTGTGTATTTTCTTGATCCAATAACTCCAGACGTGGAGCCACAATAGCGGGAAATGATGCAGAGAGATAGGACGTGAAGTCAAATTCGACGGGGCAGCGGAAAAATTCTGCAAGTCGCTTGAGGCCTTGCTGCCTTAAATAACGCAAAACTCTGGAATTGGATACTTCTCCGGATTCGCTCTCCTCCTCGTTTGCTTCATCTTCCACCTGCCCATCCGCATCGACTGCCGTCACATTCGACAAATGATTCTGAGCATTAGCAACTATATCAAGTGTGGTCCCGAGTAAAGCCGGCCAATATGTGGTTAATCTCGACCCAAGGTTCTTCAGCACGTCACCCAACAAAGTCAGGTAACCAGACTGCTGCTTTAACGGGATGTCTGAGGAAATAGGGTGCAGTGAGAAGAGGTTGTCCTGGTGAGCATGGCTGTCCGCTTGCATGGGTTTCAACATCAGATCCACTAGAAGATAGAGCTCCTCGTCTGTGCATCCTGCGAGTGCTGTCAGCACGGCAGCTCGACGATCACTGCCTCTAGAGCGACCCTTCTTTTCCAACATAAGGCCATATAACAGACGGACGATGATATCCACTACTTGAGACCGGTCTTTGATCTCTATCGATGACATATGCAAAGACGTCAACTCGTCTCTCCATTTTGTTTCGTCGAGGAGTAAGCCTAACTTCGCCTGGTGATGCTGGAGGTGGGGCGACTTGTACGCGAGCAGACAGGATAAGGATACCTTTTGCAGTTCCCGATCGGGATGGGATAGGAGGGAGAGGTACAGTTCTCGTAGTGTATTTGTGGAGTGCAGAGCCTTGGGATTGCTAAACTTGCTGAACAGCGTCAACCACGCCTGAAGCTTATATTTCGGCAATCGTGATAGAGCATCCGGACTTGCGATTGAAATGAAGTATGTCACCAACTCGCGGTTATGTTTTTCCGCCAAAGATGTACATTGTCCGAGAGTGAGGAGGATCTGAGCTTCGAACGTGACGGGATCAAACCGATCAGACGATTTTTGTTCCTATGTCACATCGTTAATAGGACGCTAGTTGAAGTGCTAACTAGAAGACCTACCGAAACGATGATTTTGCGGTGGTGAAATGTATCTAGCCAGCTTACAGCAGCACCCCGAACCCGATGTGCGGTGGGGTCCCTCCAAGATCGCTCTTCTTCCCAGGGATCCATGACATTCTGATCATCCTTGGTAGCAGTCAGCCAGTCAGGAATTTGATTGGCTCCCTGCGGTTGTTGTAGCTCCGAGAATATGATATTCCAGACGACATCGCCAAAATTCTGGGCTAAGGAAGAGAGAGCTTGTGACGCTGGGGACCATATCGGTCGTAAGTTGACCTTCAGTTGAGCTAATATGACATCAGCGAAGTGCCTGCATAAATGGGACGGTATACGTACAAACAAGCCACCGAATACAGATATCAGCGGAAAGTGAACCATCATCTCTCACGACCTGGTATAATCTGCCTATTCGAAGAACGCGCTCGCGCACGCCATGCATGTCAAGGGACACTTCGTCACCCTGCAGACAGCGCTTCAACGCTTCGTGTTCTGCGGGAGAAGATTTGACCATCTTCGATGTCAATAATGCCAAGACATTTGAACGCAATGTTCGAGAAGGGGAAAGTAGCCGTGATTGCAGACGGGAATATACTTGGGCGATTGGAAGAGACTGAGATGAAGAAGGGCTATTTTGTGTCAGCAAGAACAAACCAGAATGAGGTCACGGAATTACCATGCTTCGAGAAGTGCGACTAGACCTATCAATACTTTATCAGACCACGACCAATGCTCCACGATCTCTGCCGTCCAGGCCGATAAATCCACTTGCGTTTCCCAGGAAGCTGATTTGCATCGAGACAGAGCTTGCATGCATGTTCCGATCACCCAGGCCGCATTGGCATGTGATGCTTGCCAATTCGCCTCGGGTGTCGGCGTGTTTAGTGCGCGTTCAATGATGGGCACCAATAAGGGCGCCAGTGAGTCGACGAATATGGAGAGACTCATGATATCGTACAAGTGATCCACCGACTCATCACTAATTTCCCAGCTAGATAAGTGGGTTTGTATCCACCTATCGACGCTTCGCTTCCAGACGATATCGACCTCGCCCAACTTTCCGGAATGTTGCAGAGATGCGAGAAGACGCAACGTGAGGGTGTGCTCTGCCTGAAGGAGAGTAGGGGTTGCTTTGAGAAGGGCGGGTAGTCCGACAAGCTTCCAACCACCCCATCCTAGCTCCGCAAGGACACCGCAGAGCATTAAGCCGAAGGAAGGAACACCAAGAGCCCGAGCGACAAATGCACGTCCTGGCCCTGTGGACATTGACATGTCACCAGCAGTGAGAAGTGAAGACGTAAAATTCAAGATTTCGGAATGCAGAGGTACATCAAGCGGCAGCGAAGCCAGTCTTGAGGCAAGTCGTGTTAGATGGTTTGCTACAGGTACAAAGTTTAACGGCTACGCAAGACTGAGAAACAATGACGACATACTAGACAGTCGCGATCCTTGACGAACTGCACATATGACAGACGTAATTTGCATGACACGTTGAAGATCTTGGTGATTCGCGCCACCAGTCTGCGATACGGCACAGAAGCGATCAACGATGAGGCTCGCAACAACCGAAAAGTCTTCCGGGCCATTGCAGTGGTGAATCAAGGCGGTCAGCACACGCCGAAGGAGTGTATACGACAATTCAGGGCGATCACTTGTCAGGTGGCAGTCAATGAGAGAAGCTATCGATGATCCTGCACTTGTGTGTAAGGTTTGGGAAATAGACTGCAGGCGTATTAAAATCAGCACCTAAATTTGAGCAGCAATACGCACTTTGCATGCAAAGATCATCATCCAAGCGCTGGCATCCTCGACGCCTTCTAAATTCTTTGCCATCAAAATTACAGCTCTCTCCCTCGCAACGCTCTTCAGCCGCCGGAGTACGGAACCCCAAACCTCGGCTGCGGCGCGCTGGACATCAGAATTGCACGTTGGAAGCACCGCGCGAAAAGAAGACCACGTCTGGTCCAAAAGATCGAGATTGATTGACGGTACGAGAAGATACCTGAATAGTCCTGAGAGTGTCGCCAGGAGAGCTGTAAGGGAGGGTGCTGATATGGGTTGTGGCAGAAGTCGCAAGAGGACGTCTAGTAAATCTGCATATGATGGAGCAAGTGTGGTTCGTAGATCGTGAGCTAGCTTATTCAGGAGGCTAAATAATCATACGGTTAGAGAATATTGAATCAGGTGTTAAATTGAGAGGCGTACTCAAGCAGAGCTATCAAAGCTTCATTGTCTGATGCATCCAAGGCACTTTTCCATAAGTCAATGATATCCTTCCAGTTATGCAAGAGTATGGGCATAGATATTGAAAGCGAGTCAACCTTGTTCGCGAACTGAATAAACGCTGGAGAGAGATTGAGCTGCCGCCATTGCTGAAGAGCTAGATAAAAATGGGATTCGTTGTCCTAGACCTGCTTCAGCAATCCACGTGGATCGATGAGACCAACCTCAAACTTACCGAAATATCATGATCGAACTTGGTGAGGTCAAGAGCAGATGGCAGATGGACCTCCTTCAGGCTTTTCTTGTATGATTGATGCTAAATGATGCGCGGTTAATCAAGCGAATGAGCTCGACAATATTTGAAGCACCTTGAATCGGTTCGCGCGGGGAACTGCACTGGTTCCCTCGCCTGAGTCTGAGTCCGAATCCATGGCTTTCAAAATGTCGCAAAGGACTGTCAGAAAAAAATGTCGCGCTACCGTTTATGAGGACAGATGGCGGTCATGAAACACTGACTGCTCCGGTTGGCTTTCGGTCTAAAATTTGCGATCTCGAAAAGGTTGTTTGGATCAGAAGCCTTTGCCAAACAGTCCAATCCCGCAGGTACAGCTTCCGTTAAAGACTTACACGGGTCCCGAAGTTGTAGTTGTTCCGTGCACACTGCACAACCAGATGTCCGAAGAATCAGGTTTAAGCGCCATTCTCGAAGGAATTCTCCAGGCGCACTTATCATCACCAAATGACTCGTCTTACGAGAGTGCTAAAGCGAAACTTGCTCAAGAACGTAGTGGCATAGGCCGCAATTCACGCCTGGTGAAGATTCTGAGTTACGAAAAGCTCATCTTAGTCCTGGCTCTCGTACTTCTTCCCCTCGGTCGTCACTTCCGTGAACGGCGGGAGTTTTCCGTTGTTTGGCTGGAGAAATCCATCGAAACAGTAATGGGGGTAGGTTTCTTTAAGTTCATTGCAACTATCTTTGCTGCCCAGTGCTAACGCAACTGTCCATTTACCAAGCTATACCTTCGATTTATTGTGTCGCAGACTGATACCATGAAGAAATTAGCGTCCGACGACGATTTCCCAGATTACAAGACTGTAAATGCCACCCTAGAACAGGCTGATGATGATGGTCCCGAGGGTGCTGAAGCTCAGAGACAGATTGGCCTATGGAGAATGCAGATCACTAACTCGCAAGACATCAGACCTTGCGGTTTTTGATGATGTATTCGATAAGATCGATACTTGTGCTGAGGAAGTATTTAGTACATGTATTCACACTGACATAGATGAGAAGACCAATGTGTACCTAGGCGCCTTGAAACACTACCGTCACAAGATCACAACAATTTTGCAAAAAAAATGGTTGGAAGAGAGCAACGACGCCATAGAGGCAAACGATGTCATGCGACGATATGACAAGATAACAGCTCGTATTGCTGTGTGGTTGTCACCTCAGGATGATGCAAGCAATGCACCCATTCCCCTGTTGTCTGCTTGGCTGCTAGAATATGCATGGTCGTCTCTCAGTGTCGTGAAGGAAGGGGTGATTGAAGTATGTATTTATCCTCAATCTCTGGGTTCAGTACCACGCTAACTAACTACAGATTTGCAGGTGGTTTGAGCCCCTTCTCGAGTACTACCCTGCTCTTCATGCCAAGAGCCATGAGATGGACGACAAATCAGAGGTAATGATCCACAATGTCGTAAACCATGTAGTAAGGATCTATGCACCAGATGCAGATGTACAGGTATGGTGGATGTATCTATCACAAGCTGCTCGCTGACGATCATGACGAAAGCTATGTCATTTCTTGTGGGAGCGTCGAAACAGTCAAATACTCCACCTTCACAACGCCATGTCGACAATCAGCCAGAAGGAGATCCAACAGGACCGTCCAAAAGACATGGTGCAGGTCAATATTGCTTTCGACAAACTTCCAGGAGATGAGAAGCGAGTATTCGAACAACTTCTTTTATCAATGAAGAACATTTCGAAAGGGAACTCGCGCTTTAGCCAGGGCAGGGGTACCTATGCTATGTGTGTCACGAAATGGAGGTGGCGAGACAAGACACTGAAGAATGCAAAACGTGACATCGAACCCTTGGTCAAGGCAGTATTGCTCGAACTACGAAAAGCAAGGGAATACAGAACTGTGATCTTGGCGGACTCCATTATCGCTGGCCTCAGAAAGCAACTTGAGCATATTCTCGTTCAAATGATGAAACCGAACTTTCACTTTCGACTTAGTGACAAATTTGCGACGAGTACAATGTGGCAGTGGTGGGACGACATAGAAATTCCCAAGGGTGTCACTCCCATTACGTCTGCTAACATAGATGAAGCCTTCAAGTCGAAGCTGCAACAGATTCAGCTAGAGCAACGGGATCAGGATGCGATAAAAGAGCTTGTCACATATGTCAAACATATGGCCTGTGCCCAAGCAACAACTGAAAAGGATAGCGCGCTGAATTCAGAGGTCGCCAAGACGTTGAATGCCCTTGTACATGTAAGTACTTGATAGTTCATCAAGCCTGCATGTAACTTACACATGCATCAGGCTCTCAAATCCAACAGCACTCGTCTCCATGACTGTGACATGGCAATGGATCCAGATTTGTCTTGCGATGTCAGGGTGGCCGTTCCATTCAAGATTCCCAAAACAAAGGACCAGATTCATGCAACCATTCTAGAGCCCGCTTCCTCAAAACGTCACCGATCAACCACCGGTTCGTGCATTGCGTTTGATTGGATACTTACTCTGTCTCACCTCTGATACCTAGTCTCTGAATCGCCTGGCGCAATGAAGAAAAGGGCTCGCAGCTCTCCCTTTACTATTTCTGACTCTGATGAGGATCTCGTTGGTTGACTCTGATGCCATTCTTCATATGGTTTTGCTGTTTTGTCAGAGTTTCTCTGCGTGCTTTTGTATAACTCATCACTAAACCTTTTAATTCAATCACGTATCATACTTCGCAGTTGATAATTTCATGATCATGCGGAATTTTGGCGAGTGTGATCCTGCCTCTTTTGGATCGACGAGAGAACGACAATGGCACATGTTACTTACCTTAAGTCTCTGCAGTGATTGGCCATCACTGCGCGAAAGCCGGCTGGAGACAACTTGCACGAACATCACCTTGGGAATTCTGACCTTTCGATGAATGGAACTTGAACTCAAATTATGTAACATTTGATGGAAAGCTCATTGATATTCGTTCAGCAAAAGAATGTGTTGAAGTTGGATTAGTTGGCCATGCGATCATACTCATGTAGTGTGCATTCCCTCGCTTTATATTTGATGACGCCATAACTATTAAAAGCACGCAGATCTTAGATATATTAACCACAAGCAGTAGTATGAAGTACAAGTGTGGTTGTACATATCGACGATCGTGGTCGTGTGCCATGTTGAGCTGTGCTACCAGGGTCTCTGTATGGTACACGGCGTATCAGTTATACAATCCTAAAAAGTCACAAACAAGGGCACATGACAAAAGGCAGTTCGAAATACAGAAAAATCAAAGTGCCGAAGGTAGCAAAAATGGGAACAACAGCTTGAAGGTGAAGGTAAGAATAACTGAGCAAAACTAGTAGGCAATGGCTTGGGGTGGATGGTCTGTTGGAGGGGTACACATGGACCACATAGTTCCGTCTACGCAGTAAGCAGGTGGAGGAGCCTCAAGATCTGAGTGAGCGGGGGACAGCTCGCCCTTGTATATACTAGAGCGATTCGAACGTGGTGGTGCGCACGGCGAGGAGAGCTGACACTTCGGAATGGAAGGTACGTATAATTGCGTCGGGTCTGGATCCGAAAAGTCCCAAGAACCATCGTCCTGCTGGTGAGCCACTCGCATCGGTTTCCGCACTGGAAAAAAACCATAAGAATGGTACTTCTCCCTTGAGCAGCGGGAACTTACTGAAACTGAACTTGGACTCAGTCGAGAGTCGAGTATTATCTAATGTGAAGATGCGCCGCATGCGGGGGGAGAAAGCTGCATCGACTTCATCAGCTGGTCTGCGACGCAGGCGTAGGAGAAGCCATGTGATGAGCGCAAACAGGAAGACGCCGACAACGCCAACGGTCACGGCTACGGCTACAGCATGCCAGTCTCTCGGAGGACTGAAGCCAAGGTCCGTCTCAGTCTCAGTGGGAGAGATAGAGGTATCGGTGGGACTTCCGTCGTCGGTGAAAGGCATGATTATGGTGCTTCAATGAATCTACGGTTGATCTGTGGGTCACAACTCGGAAGGTATTATTCAGTATGAACCCACCGCACGTAAAATGTCTATTTTCGGACACAAGTTGACAACGAGTGAGTATAGAAACAGTCAGAATTATCTGTTTATTCCAAGCGAGCCGACTGTCAGCATGCTCTTGGTGTTGTATAGGTAGTACATACTACGGTTTGACTATACAGTGCTGGATTAGGAAGGTCTAGCAGTTGATGTGAGTAGACAAGTCGCAATAAGTAGTACTTGGAGAATCGACGCGTGATAAACGCCTGCCTGGATGCGCGAAGGTAAAGGAGCGACGATGAATGTGGTGAGAGACTAAGAGAGTGATTATGCCATGTCTTAATTTCTCTTGTTATAAGCTTTCGCCTCCAAGGGCTTCCTTGTGCTTCGATCAAAGATCAAATTGGGTTAGTGTGCGAAATATATTATTAATTACATAATGTAATGTTTCTGGATATTCTATCTTCACTTCCAAGTTTCTTCAAGTCGACTTCTTGATTTCGCAGAGACAAGTACGAGAATACTGTTAGCATCGTTACATACCGACCCGCCCATTCATCCTGCCTCATAAAGCGCCACTTGCAAAGCTCAAGAGACTAGGCCGATCGGAGTCCTCAGGCAAAACCGATATCGAATCGTGGCTAGTCTTAGCGACAAACCCGTCGCACGAGATGGATGGTGAGGATACGAGCGGACAATTATGGGACAGAGATCTCGTACAAGAGGACTGGCAAAAGGCCATGCAAATCGCACAGGGAAGACTTTTAACCAGCAGTACCAGAATTCGCCTGCAGTTCTTACAGGAAGAACTTTTATGGCTTGCGAACAACGGAGGCACGTGCTGCAGTTCACAGTAGTCGGGCAACATTGTAATTTCAAATTGTTTTCCAGGATTGAGCCTGAGGCAAATCATGGATGTTTTCCAACTCCTGACACAAACATATCCCCGATACGTTGATGGCGCTTCCCGCGATGCCGTCGAGGAAGTGGGAATGACATTGATTGAGAAGGATGAGACAGCTGATGCTGGCCAAAAATTGGGAGTCACAGAGCAAGTTCTAGGATGGCTTGCGAACGAAGTATCACACATAGCTAAGCGTGGTTCACCAAGGTCTGGTTCTCATCTCTCACCGCTAGATATTGGCTGATATTGGCGTATAGCACATATGCTCCTGCAGATATCTTCGTTCTCTTAAGTTGGGCATGCGGGCTTTATGCAACGTGTCTGCGGTCCTCTCCTGGCTTTACTTCATCCCCTTCATGGAAAGTGCTCGTCGAAATCTTCGCGACACTTCTTGATATGCAGCTTAACCGCTCTACGCGGACAAAACCAACTATGCAGAAAAGTGCATTTGTTCGTACACGCAGGGCCCTTAGGTCTGTACCGGAAGAGCTTCCCACTCTCATGGCAACACTCGTAGCGGAAGCAAAATCTAGTCAAACTCCCCTTATACATATTTCGTTGCTGAGTTCTGCTGTGGATGTGACGCTTCGTCTGAAAAATGTGAAGGACAAATCGCTCACCCAAATTCCTTCCGCGATCAAGGTAATATAAGCATGTTCTTCTAGTGTGGTACCTGCTGAATGCGATACCAGAATGGCATCCTCGATCTTTATACGACTTGCGTTGTGATGTCCAAAAATCCTGTTCCGTCGCACTCCTCTGTAAGGTGCCTATATCTGTTACCTGATATCAAATCTCAATATACGTCGTGGCAGAGCGCGCTTCAGGACTTCATAGGGACTTGTGTAACCTCTAGCGATCTAACAGCAACTGTATTACCAACTATGGAAAAGGCACTTTTGCGATCACCAGAATATTCACTAAGTGGTATGTATGTACATTAGGTTTGTCAATATCCGACTAACTGCTTGCAGTGATCGCAGATTTTTTACTTGCGTACTCTCATAACCTCGACTCCGCTACATTCAAAAAGCTCCTTACTGCCTCCCTCAACTCCGCCAAGTCTAGCAACCCTGCCGTGCGCACGAATGCAACAGGTCTTTTCAAGGTCCTGATCTCCAAGGGCATCGATTCTACCAGCGTTAGTGCAGCGCTCACGGATGTTTTGACACCGCCCAAGACTGGTAAAACCACAGGCCCAGAGCATCGACTTACGCTTTATGCAATGCTCGCCACGATGCCGCCAGGCGCTGAGGTTTCGGCTACTGTTTTCCAGAATGTGCCTCAGCTACTCGTGAAGGAAACGAATGACGCGGCTATTGGGGTGCTGGTATCGATCATGGCGGTGCATCTCACTTTTATCCTCAAGGCAAGTATAGAAGTACCTACAGACGCAATAGCTGTGATTGCGAAGGAGATGACCAACACGAAGCCTGTCATCAGGAGAGCCTTTGTATCTATCGCTGGGTCAGCGCTTTGGAACGTTGACAGGGTCGACACCGATGCTGTTTTGGCTTTTTCAACGGGCATCATAAGTGCTCTTGAAACTAACCTAAAGGTTGTGACCGCAAATCCTCTGACTGCAGCAGTTGGTCCATTGGAGGGATATGTTGCCCTCGCTCTGTTCATGGGTCCCTTGACAAACACGGGGAAGTTTGGTATGTTCATTCTCTTCGGTCGATGCTGCGTTTCGTACTCATTTCTTCAAGGTGATATCATAACTCGCAACGCATCCATCGAAGTTCTGACCGGCACACAAGCCAAGCCTTCATTCGTCATTTCGGATAAAATATACCAAAAATTGACTGACGTAGAAGACGAGCTGTGGCTTTTACGTGCCGCGAACCTATCTCTTTTCCGCCTGAAGAACGAGCTGCTCAAAAGCGAACAGTTACGGCCAGTATAATCGTCTTACATTACTTCTTTCATTTTGACATCATTCTCAGGTTGCAACTCGGCTCCGTTTTGGTTCATCTTTCCATTCACTCGCAATCATCTGAAGTTCGCAGGGTAGCGATTCAGACTATCGAAGCAGCTGTTCAATCACTCCCACAGCTTGTCATTTCGATCCTGCGCGAAGCACTGACAGCTTCATTGGTCAAAGAGAAGTCGGCTGTCGTCAAGAATGCATCAGTGACAGAAGAGACGGAACAACCTGCTCCAGACAATCAGCGAAGGTGTGCGGCACTGATACTGTGCTGTGGCAATAAGGGAGAAGCCGGTGCGGGGGAGAGAGACGATCAACTAGTAGACCTCATTGTTCTGGCACATCACTCTGCCGTTTGTGAGCTTCCTCCTTCACTACCCTATCGACTGCTGCTGAACACTTTAAAAACGCATCAGGTCCTCCATCCCGCATGCTATGGATTGAGTTGTGCCAGAAGACTGGCGTGGACCCGCACAATTTAATTTCTCGTCGGGTTGACCAAGCGATGTCGAGCATTTTGACAGCATCCACTATTGATTCGAAGGTATTTTTGTATGTTCACGTTTTCTGAACGCGCTGACAATTATGGATTTTAAGTTTGGCTTTGCGGACGCGAGCTATCGAGCGATTAGCACATTGGCGTTTGTATGTCCCCAAAATGTATTACCGAAGATCATGGAGCAGTTACGAGCCGATATCGACCCTTCGAAAATCAATGCACTGTCCGAAGCTGAGTTCGGTATCTGGGAAACGCCAGAAGGCATGACGTACGTAGATGGTAAGTAAATGAATCATAGGAATTACGCCATATTCATTGTGTTCTTGTTGCGCAGTTCTTTCCTCTCAGAAGGGAGAGGAAGGTCCTAAGAAGGGGAAAGACGCTGATATTGCCCGCTGGGAGGCCGAGCTTCGTAAATCGCTTGCGAACAAGAAGGGTGGCGCGACAGCTACGCTGTCGAAGCAAGCTCAAGCCCTCGTACAAGCACAGCTGGACAAGGAAGCAATTGTGCGACAGCGAGTCACCACTATCAAGCTCAATCTGCGACGAGGGTTGTCATACATTCAGAGTTTAGCGTCTATTAATGTCCCCGAGCTGCGAATGTATGTTTCCTCCATTTTAGCGCTGTTATTGGAGGGAGCTATGGGTCAAGGATCGAGGCTGATTGGATCGCAAGCATTTGAAGCCTATTTGGTAGGTCTGTGTGGGTTTCCTTTGGGCGCTTTGCACTCATATCTTCCGTCCTAGGACCTCGCCAAGTGCTGCTCAGCACGTTTGGACACGTTCCACAAGTGGGTTGGTGTGGCGACATTGCGAAGCCTTGGGATAGCATCGGTGCCCGAGGAACTGCAGGCTGAACAACTTAGCTGTAGGTTTTATCTGTCGTCTGGAAAACAAGTGATGTGTTAACAATTCTCTAGCTCTTGTGCTACGCGTTCTCTATCGTCTGCGATCGCTATCAGAACAAACTCCGTTTGACGCTGCAACCTTCTCCTATGCATTTCCACTCCTTGCACAGGTGTTACTGAAGGGTGGTGTAGACGCCGGCCAAGATGATGGCGATGAAGCACTCGAACAAATAACTCTCGTGCTCGACATCATCAAGTTTCACTGCAGCGAATGTTTGTCTTCGGTGTAAGAGTTGATGCGTTTCTAATATTCTCGCAGTTTCGGATGCAGCATTTCCCCGAACAGCAACCATGGAGCACGTCCTCCACGCCATAAGACATCAGCCGCGACTTAGCAAGGAAGCGTCATCTGTTCTCATTGACCTCGGGGAGGCTGTGCAGTCGAATGCCACCCGTGATGAGGTCGGTGTGCTCATTGATGGCACACTATTGCAAGAGGTCTACGTCAGGAACGCTTGTCTGCAAGCCATCCAGGTCAGTATCATTTTCTTGCAGTTTGCGCTAATTGTGTTCATCGTTTTCGTAGCCATTCGATCTGACCGATCTTGATTGGTCTCCGCAACTTTGGATAGCCTGCCATGACGATGACGAGCAGAATGCCCGTCTCGCTAATCACGCGTGGGAGGATAATGGCTTGGATGTGCCAGAAGACTTCCTTGACAAGCTCATGAGCTATCTCGGTATGTAGTTCATGTTTCTATACTTAAATTCTAATGTGTCTATTAGAGCACAACAATGCGTACGTTCGAACCAGCACGGCATCGGCCATCGCGGAGGCTGTAATTTATTGGCCTCGAAAGAGTGCACTGACCATAGCTGCTCTACAAAACTTCTACCGGGAAAAGGTATGATTCCTCATCCTTCTTTACGTGCTCGGCTCTAATCAGTTTGAAGGCTAAAATTCTTGCACCCGAGTTCGACCAATACGTTAGTGTCATATTAAACTTTCCGATTATGATCCTCACTTGATGCCCAGGGCATGGTTATTGCTTCTAGCCTCGATCGCTCCGATCCATGGGCTACCCGGGTGGCAGTGGCCCTTGCATTTGAGCACTTGGCTCCGTCATTCACAGAGGACCAGGTTGAACCGTTCTTCGTATTCTTGATTAAGGACGAAGCATTGGGTGACAGGTCATCG